CCCTCCCTCCCTCCCTCCCTCCCTCCCTCTCTGCCTGTCTTCCTCTCAGAACAAAAGAGGAAACAAAAGAGAGAGGGAGGTGAGAGGCGGGTCGCAGCAGAGAGGCTCTGAGCAGCCCCCAGGTTTTGCCTGGAGCCCTGCCTGCCCCCCAGCTCTGCCGGCAGGTGCGGCCTCCATCCCACACTGGGGGGCTTTGCTGCCCCTCTGAGCCTCAGAGGCCCCAGACGGCGGCCGGGTGCCCTGGGGAGGCTCAGCCTGGTGTCCCCCGAGAGAAGTCTGGGGGCAGGAAGGCCTGGCGGGGGGTGGGGGTGGCTGTGTACTGTGCACGGACAGGTGCACGTGTGGACGGACAGGGACACATGCGCACGTGACTCACACACACAGGAGCACAGCAGGCATTGCCCTCTGTAGACATCGGGGGACATGAGGGCTGGCTCCGATGGCCCTGGGAGTGGCTGCCCCAGGACCCCCCAGGCCTTCCCGGCCCCTGACTTCCGGGTCCCCTGAGCCTTCACGCCCAGACCACAGAACGTTTCCCTCCCGCGTCCCCGCCCGGCGTCTTTGTAAAGATCCCCTGTTCTTGGGGAAACTTTTGCTTCAACATCAGTCGGAAGCTTCGCCTCGGTGGTTTGGGTGTTTGCCCGTCCATGTCCAGGCTAAGGAGGGCACCAGCCGTCCACATGTCTGTCAGCGCCCCACCCCTGGGCACACCTGCACCCTCCCCTGCGGCTGAGGTCCCTCAGGACCCTGGACAGCTCCGGGCCGCGCTCCCCTGGGCCCGGGAGGGTTTTCCTCTGAGGGTCCTTCCTGAAGCTGAGCTGCCGGGCCTCTCAGGGGACCAGTCCCTCCCCGTGTCCCTGGCCGCCAGCCAGGACACTTCCCACCGCGGGTGGGGGCCCATCCTTCCTGATTGTGTGGGATTTTAGGACAAAGGGGGGCTGAACTCGATGCAGGATTCCAAGTCCAGGAAGCGGTCAGGGCGCATCCGCCTCTGCCACCAGCTCCTGGGACCCCGGCTGCACTGCCCCATCCAGGGGACCGTGTCAGGGTCGGGCCAGGTGACCTCGAGGCGCTGGCAGTGGGCGTGGGGGCAGGGCTGGGGTGCTTGGAATCGGAGAGCTGCATGGGGGCGTCCGTGCCCAAGAATCTCACTTTTTTGATCCCACGGAGGTTCGACCCTAGGGCGCCCCAGGGCGGGCATCCTGTGCCACCCGGTCACTCACCAGGGACTCGGGGCTGACAGAGCAGCCTGTGTTTATGGAAGTGGGAGTAGTGGGGAGCGTGCGCGTGGGTCTTACCTGCACGTTCCAAGCTGCTGGGGACTCGCGGGCGGGCGGGGGAGCGAGCACATGCCGCCATCTGTGCTCCCCACTGGCGCACGACCAGCCGCTCAGTCAAATGCCAGGTGTTGATGGACGGCCTACTACGCACCACGCTGTGGCCCCAGTGAACTCTGACCTCAGACAGGAAGATGTTCCAGGTGTCTTGTTCTGTGACTGCCATTAAAGGCCTGCGTTTCCCAGCCGGGAGGGGCGTGGATCCCTCTGCCCCAGGGGGCGGGGGCCCGGCGTGGCCCGGGGCGGCCTGTGCC